CGGGGACTTAAATAAGTATATCTTAGGAGCTAGTTGCATTAAGGGAAGTTGATTGCATGTACTGAAATTTATGTGATGATGCATTGTTTAGCTTGATTAAGTTGAGTAAGATGGTATAACCCTATTGGAAGGAATTTTGAGCTTGAACATTCAATTCTAGTGTGATTTTTCACTTGTTTGAACTTACTCTTCAGAATTTGTCTTAATTCTTTTCACAACTACCTTACACATGTGAAATTCTTTAATATGATTGAGGCATTCATATTGCTAGCCAGCTAGACCAAATGGCTGACCATTTAACATATACATCCTTTGTTACCCCTTTCAGCCTACTGGTTTTTTCTTCCATCTATTATTCATCACATAACACCTTTCATACATGAATGCATTAATTATTTTATTTTAACCCACCCTACTTGGAGTATTATCATTAATAAATAGCATTATGCAGTATTGTATCCTTATGATCATGTAAAACGCATGCTAGTAGTTAGGGTGTGAAAAAAAAACAGAGAGAAAGAAAGCAAAAGAAAATTTCAAAAAAAGGGAAAAATGAAAAAAAAGGGAAAAATTTTTGCAAAAGAAAAAAAAAAGGACTCTTACACCCCAATTACTTGATAGGAAACTCATTTATGAATAAATATTGCATATATTTTTGTACTCCAAGTTATTTTACATCAATCCTTCCCATTAATTTCATGCACTCTTGAGAAATTATTTTCATACCCTATGCATTACAAGCTACAAAGTCCTCTTGATTATTGAATGCACATGTAACCGGTGGTAGGGAACTAGAACTACTACAAGCCTATGGTAAAGTAACTGAGCAAGTGAACTGAGTGAAAAAGAACCCCAATGCTAGTAAGTTGAGTGATACACTTTATCTCCTTGAGTGACTATCTTGCTTGAATTCAGCCTTATTAAGCTTTGTATCTTAATGAGTTTCTTTATATGTGATTGATGACTTGGATTGTAGACTTAGTTCCTAAGCTATGTCTACTTTAATCTTTGAAGTCTCTTAGTCAATTCAATTTGTCTCTCTTCTTAACTCCTCTCTCTTCTAGATTAATTTTTGCCCAGGAGTGCAAAAGTCTAAGTGTGGAGGAATTTGATAAGTATATATTTTATAATTAAATAGGTTAGATATTGAAATATATTTAGTCAAATTTGTGAATATCTTATACCAGTTTAATTAAATTTTGATATGTTTCCTCCTCTTCAGTTAGTTATGGGATAAAAATGAATCTTTGTGCAAAATCTACTCAATTTATTGTTTATTTTGCAGAAAATATTTTAAACATAAAGGGGGAGTTAGTAAAGAATATATATATATATATATATATATATATATATCTATCTTGTGAAGAGGCGTGAAGAGTGGAGATGAGAAGCAGCCGTGGGTCCCGTTGAAGAATGAAGGAATAAGTCAATTGCAATTGTAATAATATAATATAATATATTATATTGGAGGTATATGGATACACATGGATAAGAGGCGGTGATCCAAGGGAGAAAAAAGGCACAACTATTATAAATAGGAACTGGGAGAGCAGCGAGTAGAGAGAGCAGTGTTGAATCAAATCACTGTGACGGCAGCGAGGAATTGGGACGAACAGGATTGAACGTAGCGAGCAGCCAGTGGGATAGCAGCGAAGCATTCATCTGGTTCTTAATTCTTTTTCTAGCGACAGTAACGAAAGAAAGAAGGATTATACACTGTTTTGCTCTCTGCTCTTCATCTTTTGTTCTTCTGTTATTTCATTCTGAATATTTATCTTTCACATTATGGATTTGATTTTAGCCATGTGTGGCTAGTTTTCTTTTGACTTAGAGTAGCTATGAATTTACTTCTGGATTAGACTTTATTTTCATTTAATTAATTATGCTTGATGTTAATTTTGGTTACTTAGTCCTGTTTTAATATATCTATTTAATGTTTGGCTACCGTTAAATATGAGTTTAAGCATTAAGGTCAGCCTTGATAAAGGAAATCTTAGTTAGGCTCTAGGATTGAGTAATATGGGATTAGATTTTTATCTGATTTGCGAGTAGGATAGAAATATACCTAGGAGCCCCATATAATTGATGAAAAGTGAAATCAATTTATCCTCTTAAGTATTTGGATTAGACATAACCTTATTATTTAAGAGAGGGTTATAAGTGGATCAAAAGACACTTTTAGCTATAAATACTCTAGATTAACTAAATTAACATTGAGACTAATTAGTTAAATAAAAGTAAAAGTCTATGAAACTAGTAAGCAATTAGTAACTCTAGGTTGTCTTTAATATTGAATTTTTTCTGCCTTTATTCGTTTTATCTGATCAACCATAATTCAACTTGTTTAACTCAATTGAAAATAGGAACTTTAATGCCTAAACACTATTTTATATGATTCTCCGTGGGAACGATACTCTGTACTTACTCTTTATTACTTGATAGACACGTGCACTTGCATTATTCACAATTTGTGTGCATCAAAACCTTAACTGAAGTTCTCTCTGACTCAGTAACTGGCGGATTAGGCATGGGGCATTTAGGAAACAAAGAGTTCTTCAAAGTTGAAAAACAGGTAGTTCTCGGTGCAAGTAGAGCTACTTTGCAGGATTTTCTTGGTCATTGCGGTCTCAACTAAATTCCTAGTTATGACAGACAGTTAAAATCTATTAGCTGCTTGTTTGGTAAGGCGTTGGTGGGGAGTAGCTTACAAGTGTGATAGTTCAGTTTGTAAATTTGAGAGCCCACCTTTTAGCCAATTTGATTTATGGGTGAAAAGCTATTTTTTTAAGTATGATTATAAAAGTATCTAAAACTTATTTATAACTTATGTTGTTCTTATGCTTCTCTCTATATATTTTTTATGCTTTCCAATTAGTTTTTACTTATTTATTTTTAATATTTTCTTAAGTAAAAATAATTTTTAAGTTTTTATAATATTTTTAATATTATTTTTATTATATATATAAAAATTATGTAGAGTATATCATCCAATTAATTATGTAATATTATTTGGTTCAAAATTTTTTATATTACTATGATTTCTAATTTAAATATATTTTATTCATTAATTATAACTTTTTCCTATTATAATAATTTAAAATTATTATATTTTATAAATTCATTTTTAATCATTTTTTATTATTTAATAAAGGCCATACCTATTTTGGTCATTGTACAAACTAAACTTACTTTTTTTTATCATAATCTAAATAACTTTTTTACTTTACAAACTAACTTTTACCAAAATCAATCTAAATATAAATCACATTATACAATCTAACTTTTTTAAAAGTTAAATTAAAAATAAGTTATTTTTTTTACAGCTAATCCAAATAGACCCTAGGATTATCATGAGATGGGAAAACGCAATAGAACAGGAAACTCATATTTAGTAGATAATTATGTGATATTATGCTATCACAAGTACTTGCAGATTTCTGGTATACAGTATCAGCATTTAGTTATTAAGTAATTCTTAATATATAAAAGGTCCATTTGGACTAGTAATAGAAAAAATAGTTTATTGTCAATTTGACTTTTGAGAAAGTTAGATTGGGTAAAAGTCAAATTAGGTAAAGCGAATTGTGTTTTGATTGAATTTTATAAAAGTTAGTTTATAAAAGTTAGATCAGATAAAAAGTTATTTGGATTATGATTGAATAAAAATAAATTTAGTTTGTAAAATTATCAAAATAGGTATGAGTTTTATTAGATAATAAAAAATAATAAAAAAATGAATTTACATAATACAATGAACTTAAATTAGCAAGTGTAGTTTGTAAAATTATTAAAATGAGTATGAATTTTATTAAATAATAAAAATCATTAAAAAAAATGAATCAATATTCAATGTTTAATGCATACATAAAAACTCTTCCAGTAAGCTACCTCAAAAAATAGCTTATCATTGGCTTTACACTGAAATTACTATTCACAAGCCATCATGAGGAATGTGTGGCTTGCAAAAAAAAAAGTTCTCGGGCTTTGTGTCTTATGGCTCATTTAAATGACTGTTTTAATAAATTTTGGGATCCGTACAACATTGGAGATTATATTTATATAATCTCGTAAAATTTTTATTTCTTGACTTTCTTTTCTCTGTTTTAAATATCTAGATTTTAAGTCTGGTAGAAAAAAGGGGTTTGAGATCTCTTTCTTCCCTTTCTTTTTATAAATTAGAGAAACCTATTTTTAAAATTATTCCATATCTTTAGGAGTTTCTTTTAAACCACCTTTTATTTTTTTATGAGCTATTACATTCACTACCTTTAATTATTCAATATAATCTTATAAAATTTTTATTTTGTATTTTTTAATCTATTTTAACGTTGAATTTTTTTTAAGATTATTTTTAAATTATTCCATATCCTATGAAGTTTCTTTTAAGAATAAAATCTCATAAACTCTTTTTTTTTTTCCAAATCTTGATACCTTTTTTTATTATTCAATATAATATAATTGCATAAAATTTTTATTTCACGTTTCTTTCTCTATTTTAAATACATGATAATAATTATTATTGAAAATATATAATTAGCTTTTCAGAACTTTTTAACATAAAATTTCATTGTATAACAATTAAAAACAATCTACCTTGGCTTGAAGACAGAAGGGAGACGGAGAGGGGAGTAGAGATTATAAAAAATAAAATGGTTCCATTTAAACCATGGCCCTTCACGCTGCTCGGGGATGGGAAGAACAGAAAAGGGTGAAGCGGTGAATTCAGAGTGGCAGTGATGCAGAACTGTAGGAGTCTGAATCGCAGGCCGAGAAGCATAAAGAGGGAGAAGAGGCCAAGAACTCTAGATGTGAGAGAATCTATTTCCATTTTCAGTCGGTCCTTAATGCTTGGAGAGGTAAGGTCCTTTCAAATTCAAAATTCAAAATTCAAAATTATTTCTCCCCTCCCTCAAGCATCAAACCCGATAGAAAGACTCCAGAAGGATGTGATCAAATTTCTCTCCCTTACATTCTCATCTCTCTAATCCTAGGTAGAAGCTGGCTTTATCAGTTTTATAAATGAACGGGAAAATAGCTTTGTCAGGCAAGGATGCGAGCGTGGAGAGGAACCAGTGAGGCAGAGAAAGAAGGCACCCTTGAAGCGAGATAAGTCCTTGTATCAAGCTTTCTCTGAATAACTCTCTCTCTCACTCCACTGAATCTTCTATCCCGAATGCAACATAGATTTTTTAGGAAGCTTGACCAAGAAAGCATGCATCAAAATATGTTTTCTTATGGGCAATTCAAATTTTTTGTCGTTCAGTTCTGGATTCTCTTATGGGCAACTTTTTTTGTGGGAGTAATTCATTGGTGGTGAGTCTGGAAATTAAACTTTTGGACACGAATATTTTCTCATTTGGTTTATATGCTTCTCCCTCCCTCTCTGCATTTCAGTTTCCTTTTATTCTTTGGCAGCTTTTCATTTTGCTTGCTTACCCATGGCCATCAACATTTCTTGAAATTTCAATCATCTTTATCTTTGGCTTGAACTACCACATTCTTACTGCGTTTTCTTTTCTTTTCTTCTCTCTCTGTTTTTTGTAAAATCGTACTTTGTTAACTTCATTGATCTCACAAGATTCTGGCAACTTGGCGAAGTATTGCCTTTTCTTTAGAGCATTTGTGCTTGCTCTCACAAGATTCTAAGCAACTAAATAATCAGCATAATCATGTAAAAGCTATTCTTCTAGATAAGTATATGATGATTATGTATCTTGATCATTGTCAAGTGCTTAAGACCGGAAATTTTCCAACACAGGCAAATGAATTTTCTGATGTGGAATATACTTTGTTTCAGACTAATGCTTATGTAAAGGTGGAGGCAGCAATTGCTGGAAAATTTTCAACACAGGCAAATGGAGGTAGCAAAAGCTTGTGTCATGTTTCTCTATCAAATCTGGCTTTAGTTTGGTGGCAATATATTTGGAATCTGCTCAGCCTTCAATCTACGGTAAAGTGCTTATCCTTTACCAACCTTTTTATTTCATCACATTCTGAATTCATTCATCTAGAAATCTCAGATTTGCTGATATATAGAAATTTTTTGACATGGCTAAATAAAGGCAGCAAAGTACAGCTAAATTGATCATTCATTTTCTTGCTTACAAATTCATCATTTTGAAATTTTTGACTTGTCATATCAGAGCTTCATGTTCATGTTGCAGAGATGTTGGCAAAGTGATGAGCTTTTTTTAATATTTGGATTAGATATTTACTCTACTAATGACATATATGACAGCATGTGCATGATTTCTTTTGACTTGGATGCAGGTGACTCTCCTTTGTTTCAAAAAGAATGCAAGTGGTTTGTATGACCATAATTAGATCTTTCTGTATGAAAGAAATCCTATCATAGATAACTTTAGTTTTGGAAATTGCTACTTTGTGCGTGTATTCGGTTTTCATGTGTGTTTTTGTTTTCATCTTGCTGGTCACTCTTTTTTGCACTTCTGCATTCAAAGAATTGGTTTTGTGGTTTTCTTGGATCTTCAAAGTTGCAATGTAGAGTGTAGATTCTCACTTGCTTCACTATTTGGGGTATGTTGAAGTTGTGTAAGGAGGATGATGCAAAGGAAACTAGTGTGCAGGGTAAGAAAATATTTAAATATCATCTTTAGTTGCTTGAAGATTAAATCCTAAGTTCAAAATAAGCTTTGAACTAATTGTACTTTATTCCTCATTTATTTTTGAATCTAAGCCACAATAATTTCATATTTAATATATGAATGTACTGAATATTTAATTTATTTGCATATACTCCTTTTTTTTTTTTATTATAATCCTTGCGTGTACTTTATTTGTAGATAGTGATTTATAGTTTCACTCTCGAGCATTTAAAACATACAAATAGGATTTTTTGCTCATGCCAAGCCTATCCACAAGGGTTAAATCTCATTACCTTCTTTTGCATAGGATGTTCTTATTGCATCTTCCTTTTATTTTTGCAGAAACTCCGCCTTCTTTCATTAGTTTTATGGTTGTCACTGTCATTTTTTTACATAATGTGAGAACTTCTTTTCTCCTTGAGAAACTTGTGTTTAATGCATGCATGCTCCGTAAGAAAACATCTGAAATGCTTACCGACAAAATTGTGTATATTTTCCTGTGCACAGTGCTGCAAGAACAAATGGAAGTAGAAAGCATAGAAGATCTGTGGTGAGACGAGTTGATAGAGGACATTGAACAAAAGGTTGTGGTTGAGGGAATCGGAATATATAGGAAAGAATTGATTGGAAATACTGTTTGCTGAAACACGATTATGTGATTTTTCTTTACCTTTACTTTCAATTTCAATTAATTTTGTTGTGTGGGATTTTTCTTGAGTGATTGCGTTTATAATGTGGGGGTATAACCGTGCCAATATGTTGCTTTTTAAATTAAGTCCAAATGTCCGATCTTCACTAGCCATAAGAGTAATGAGCAGCGATGCTATAATCTAACATAATGCAAGATTATTTGTTTTTACATCTTGGTAGGGACTGTGGTTTCTATTTAATGATATGCATTGTTTGAAATTGATGACTGTTTAAAATAAAATTGGAATTGAATATTTGAACAATTTTTTCTTTGGTGAAATGTTGGTTGAACAACTTACATTGATGTGAATTTCTAGCTAACTGAGACTTATACTTGAATATGCTTGTATTCTATTGCTCGTTTGATTTGAGTTTCCTTCTCCAAGTCTTCATTATTGTGAAGAGTTAAAAATAATTTCACATATGCACCTACTTTTACTCTAAGAGTATTTGGGCTTGTGACGTAATTTTTTTTTTTTCCACTTTATGTGAATTAGTTGTACTAATTTCAAATAAAAAATAGTATACTCCGCGTATTGCGCGGGGTAATATATGCTACTTTACATAATACAATTGATTTAAATTATTTTAATATGAAGAATCAAACTTTCATGACTGAAATATATTTTAAAACATTAGAGATATCATAAAAAATTATTGTAAATGTAAAGTGAAACATAATTTCAATGGATGAAATATTTTTAAATTAAAATTCATAGTAATGTGACAAGCTTGAAACCATTGGTGCCGAATTCACAAACCACTAGAAGGTTGTGTAGTTATTTTTTTGTTTGATTCAATGAAAAGGAGTTTCTCATTACTCAAAAGATATACACAAGCTTCAAAAGGCCAAAAGAATTACAAGAAGTTGGGAAACCAAAAGTGAGATTCAACCTATATCTGGGTGACTAAACTTTTCATTAACAAAAACAATATAATGAGTTAAGGTAATAGCTTCATTAACTACAGAGCGTTTCTTGTCCCTGTAATGGTTTGGGGAACGATGAAAAGAGCAATGTCAGAGGAGATAAACAATTGAAAAGAATGAGGACAGGGGATGCTCAGTTTTTTCAATCCCACTTTCTCCTCCTCTTTCATTAAAGCACTCATCATAACATCCAAAACAACAGTCTCTGCCTAATAGTTCAAAGAGGTAAGAAAAACGATATTGACACAAGTTTTAGACTTCCAATCAATTGCCTGAAGTTCTACGATGAAGCTCTTTTTCTTTAATTAAAAAAAAAAAACCAAATCCGGCCAATATCGTATGTATTGGCTAAACTTTTGAAACCAAAGATGTCACAGAGGAACAATACCAACGACACAGATTAGACAAGAACAGGGAACCAAAAACATTAAACAACTTAGCAAAGGCACAGATGAACAACACAAACAACTCCACATGGAAGGAACAATCAGATCGCATTGAAACTTTAGGGACTCCAATAGAAAAAGCAAGAGAAACAAATTTTCTGCCAACCTGTACTAGATCGGCGACAATGAAGGTTGATGAAGGTAGATCGGAGAGTGTATTCCACTGGGAGGCCAAGATCTCCTTGCACAACTTACATGTAAAGCTCAGACGGCAAGTACCTCAGCTGGGAGACGGTGACTGCAGATCAGACAAGGGAAAAGGTTTGAAGTGGCAATGAAAGAGTAACAGAAGGAGATGACCCTACGCCAAACCTAACGGGAGATGGAGCTCACAGCAGGGAGCAAACAGAACTGATGGCGGAGACACAACGGAGCTAACGGTTAGGAGTTAGGACACAACGGAGCTGTGATGTCCAGCAGCAGAGAAGAATGAGTGTGGGAGAAAACGAGAGCTTTAAGTGAACAATGAGAGAATAACGAGGGACAAGTGAGAGAAAAATGACGTGACAAGTAATTATTATTCCAACGGTCCACCAACCATAAGCACGATTTAAGTTCAAAAAGCATCTCAGATGAGCAAAAAAAAAGTCGCGCTTTCAATCCCACTTTTAGCTCATAAGTAAGATAGGCAAAAGCTCATCGAAACACGCTCCAATTTTTCAAGCGGACCTCAGCTGAAAATAAGTAACTTATGGAGAGCCAAATAGGCTCAAAATCTGTTGCTTTGTTCACCTTATATTGGAATTTTACCACCGTACAAAAAGAAAATCAGTTGAATTCCCCATCTGATGTGTTGTGAAAACCGTTATTTCATTTTAAACTTTTCAAATTTTAACAACTCCACCGTCTTGTTCCGCTTCCCACAGATTAGATTATATCTCTTTGATGGTAAAGATTGGAGTATTGTTTGAATGAAATCCATCAAGGCCTTGAGAAACAACGATAACATAATTAGTATTAAGGTCACCAGCCAAGTCATTGTTTTATGCCTTTTTCTAATATTCGTGTTCCCAAGGAAGCTTGAGAGTGCTTCTAATAAGAAGAGGAATTCATTCCCAAATAAAATGCAATTCTCAGAGTCATGGTGGAATACCAGAATCAATAAATGATAGTACAAACATGTACCCACCGGTTGACTTAGTCGAATGGGAATTTAGGCAAATTCTCAATGAATTTTCTTAAAGCTATAAATGAAAAATATAACAGGAGTTGCTAAATCGTTTTAAACAACTAATTACTCTATATCTGTCTATATTTATAAAATTGTAATCAAATTGTATTGTATATAAAATAATAAAGTATATTATATATAATATATTATATATTTATCTATCTATATAATAAATAATAAATTCTATTTAATTATTATTAATTATTAGAATATAAGAATATCACCACTTCATTATTAATACTATAGTCTTGAATTCTGCTAGAATTGCAAGTATATATGTACTTAGTTGAATGCTTTGAATATCTCATTTGTAACGGAGTTTAATAGCGAAGCTGGAATCAATAAAATATTATTTTTAAAATAAAGTTCTTCTGGCAAACGATTTATGCAAGAAAAGTGCTTGAAGATGAAGAGCAGATGAAGTAAGAAAATGACACAGCATATAAAAATCTGGACACAAATTGAAAGTTTAATGAAGAAGGCAATCAGGTTTTTACTATCCGTAATGATAACACCAGTAAGCTATCTACAGCAGTGATGCCATTTAAGGCCTTGACACCCTAATGCAATCCCACACAACTGGAATTTTACTTAAGAAAGAAGGGAAGCTATTGCTTACAGTATCTGCTCAAAAACTCATCTTTTAAAAGAACATATACTGCAAGACCAATAGAAACTTAGAATGTGAAGAATATAGGTTTTCAGCAGCATTGAAAGCATGTCATCTTCTTGCAATCTATTTCATGGGAGTTGTATTTCTGAATGAACACTGAGCAGTTGGAGGTCTGTCTTGCTCTATCATGATATAGCTTCAAGCAAGGGATATGCTATCTTGCTCCTGATGTTAATGGAAAAGGAGGGGGCCTTCATTAGAAATGGGACAATATGAGGAGAAGAGTCTCTTATGTTCACTGGACACAATATGAGAGCCTGTCAAACAAAAGAAAAGTAAATCAGTTTCTGTTTGCTCAATGCCCTTAAGATTTTTTTCATTGGGATTTCAAATTGCATGGAACTCATGGATTCATGATATACTCCTCCAGTCCTAAATATAAGACTCTTATACACACTAGTATAAGGGTCTTATATTTAGGACCGGAGGAGTATTTTGTTTTTATAACTAACAAGTAAACATAACTTTTTGAAAGATCTGGGATGCAGGGACATGCAAGAAAAATCTTATGCTTCAACACTAGTAGTATCATGTTTATGTATTGGACTTATCCCTTTGGCATTACCCAAAAGAATAATAAAAAGAAGTATAAAGTGCATGACTAAAAGATTTGAAATAAAACAGGGGGAAAAAATACTGACATTAAGTGTATATTATAACTTTTGTAATTCTGACACAAGTGTAGATAAGGCAGGTGAAATACCGTCAGTTAGTTAACAAACTAGCCACTATTAATTCCTCATTTCCCTGCCTATAAGTGTACCCCAATATATAAACATCACACGAGTGTACCAAGATTGAATAGAATTGCAATTCTCAGTCTCTGTCTCGTACCATTGTTCTCTCTTCTATCTTCTAATTTCCTCATCTCTCCCCTGCTCTTCCTTCATTTCAACTCTTTCCCTCTTTCTTATACTCCCAATATTACAGAAGTATGACAGTTACAGTGTACCTTTGTGAAGCTGGTACAATTGGTGCTCGATACAATCATCAAATGCTCACTTTCAGACAATGTTCTGTCAATATGACCATCTGAAAAGCTGTGTTAGACATTCTGTATGATAGACAGTATGTTTGAAGTATAATTGGTAATCGGCAAGTAAAAGATCAATGTAACCTGAATAAGAACATGCTCTACACACTAGAGTTTAGTCTGATCAGGCTCTGGCGTTTGGCGTTGTTGCAGCATTAAACCTGCTCATCTCAACTGTCAAATTCAATAGCAACGGAAAGCAGGTTAGTTTGGGCCAATTCCATCAACCAAAGCTCATGAACCACATCATAATCACCCTTTTTATTATATAGTTGAGTCAAATTGAGTTTGGTTAAAAGGAATTCACAATACGTAAGGACTAAATCTCTTTAACAAATTCTAAATTGTTCTTAAATTTAAACAAGAATTAGAATTACATTCTTTATCTGCTTTTAGCAAAATTTTTTTTAAAAAGTTCATATTTCGACGCATGAAGATAATAATAAGTAAATCATATTATTTCTTTTTATTCAATTTTAAATCGGACTTCTCTAATGCATGATATGGGACCTACTGTTTCCTAATTAAAATTTAAAACTGCATGATTTTTTTGGGATAATCCCATTTAAATCAAACTAAAATACTAAAATTTGAAATTACGCCTACACTTTGAACAAATCCCGAATCAGGCCAAGAGGTCAAATTAGTAATTTACAGATATTGTTAAAAGTCAAGAATACCTTCTATAATTATATTATGTGTTGTTATCTTTATATTTTTCTTCCTCACAAATTCTTTTCCTGAAAATTTTTTTGTCATATTTTCCTAAAATTTGAAAATAGTAAATTTTTAGTAAATGACATGAAATTACAATATAGTCCTTGATTCACATTAATAATTACACCAACACCATCATCAATGTAATAGTGTAGGTAATGATAGATTTTAATTTTGGATGAGTTTAATTTCTACTTAGTTTTAATATTGATCCATCCTTTATATATTTTATACACACGTACAATTTTTTTATTAAACTCGTATATTTTTTTTAATAGAATACACCTACATTTTAACAGTGAACAACTAATTCAGACAACAAACTTTTTACAGATTTTGAATCAAGGACAGTGTTATAATGTATTATTTTCATGTTTTAAGAAAAAAATTTATAAGGGAGAAAAATATATAAGTATCAACTCATATTTTAATTATGGAGGGCATTTTAGTCTTTTAACAACATTCATAATTTTGAATTTCTATTTCAAAGGGATTTAAAAAGGATTCTTCCTTTTTTTGGGGAGGGGGAGCTGCGTATTTAGAGAAATTTTGAGAATTTAACGCAGCTTTGCAGCTTTGGTATCATTGATATATACAAAAATGAAAATTTCAAATAAATAAGGAAGAATCCCACAAAAAGAAGTTTCAAGTTACAAAATTCTAAATTACGTTTGGTTCAAATACTTCAATAGGTCTTGACAATTCTAGATTTGCAAATAATAATACATTTTTTAGGGAATTCTTTTTTTGGGATTCAGTAATTTCAAGTTTCTTTTTGTGGGATTTTCCCGGTAAACAAGTAAATCTATAAATAAATTGGTGCAAAAATAAAGACACATTTTTATGATTTGAAATTCTAACAAAATATGCATGACTATAGAAAAGTTGAGTAAATTTGAGTTTGGCTAATAACTAAGGATTTCACATCGTAATTCAACAAGATTGTATACAGAAAGTAAATGATATAATTTCCTTTTCATCAGATTTTAAAATGATCTTTTCTTCTTAGTGCATGGTATGAAACCAACTACTGCCATATTTATTAGACTTATGTATGACAGACAAAAAATAAGCTACTCGCGTTAAGAAATGTTCATTTTTGGTAGTCTGAGCTATTAATTGTATTTACAAATATGGGAAAAATATTTTACATTAAATCTGAAAAAAAAAAAAACATATTCTTTGAAATCTATAACAAGAATGATTAATGAATTATGAATAATTTGGCACATTCTTTAGATACCCTTCCTTAGATGAACCTACATCTACATTTTGTGCAGCACATTGCTTGCCGCCCAAACACCCCCGGGGGGGGAGGTGGGGGACATAGCATCGAACACCACACTGTTCGTAGGATTGCTCGGCAACACTACAATGTGCAGCATTTGCACAACAGACAAAGAAAGCTTTTAGTTTTTAAGATTTGAAATTCAAATAATCAAGCAGACATTAAATCTAAAGAGACATGGCCAAAAGAAAGAAATATATGTGCATGATTTGAAATTTTAACGAGGAGTAAATATATACCTAATGAGTGAACGGATAGAACGAAAGCTGATGCCTTCACGAGAGAGAAGCCCACTTAAAGATTCGGCTGCATCCTCTTCAATGCTAACAAAAGGGATGTGAGAAATCGTTGCCCAAAATTTTCCTTTACGCTTTTGGATCTGCTTTTTTAGTAAGGGACAGCCCACAATCAGTAGTTGACAAAGGGAACTAGGCAAGCCCTCCTTTGGAAAGTATTGGAGTTGAGGACAGCCACAAAATCTCAAGATTTCCAAAGAGGATAAGTGGCAAAGACCTTTGTGTTGCAACGATCTAAGATTTCGGCAGTTATAGAAACTAAGGCAAGTTAGAGTAGGTGGAAGTAGTCCAATATCGGGAAGAGACTCATCATCTGCATCTCCAACCCCAAAGTATTCTAGCGAAGTAGAGCTACTTAGATGCCATCCCATACGAGAGGCTGTGAGTTTTGGGCACCCCAAGACCTCAAGATATATGAGATTTGATGGGAAACCTCCCTCTGGAAATGATTCCACTTGTGGGCAGCATTTTATTAAAAGACATGTGAGGGAGGGAAAGAGAATGTGCATCTTTTCTGGGAGTGATTTCAAATTCTCCAATTGTTCAATGCAACAAAATTCTAGATTGGGAGCCGAAAACCCTCCTTCAGGAAAATATACAAATCTAGGACACATTCGTAAGTACAAGCTTGTAAGAGAAAAATGTTGCCCCTTTGAAACATATATCATTTCAAGATTATTACAATCAACCAACTTCAATGATTGAAGCTTCGGGAATAAGTCTAGTGGAAAAGACCTAAGAGAGTCACAGCTTCCTCTTATCTCCATTTCAAGAATGAAGTTATGATGATAGCATAATGGGAATTCTAGGCGGGGGCAATGAGAAAACGTCAACTCTTCAAGGCTACAATTGGAAATTATATTCTCAATTTTGTCAACTGCTAATAAGTTTCCAAAGCGTCCAGAAATGTCAAGGACTTTTAGGGTTGATGGAAGACAATCCAACTGCTCATTTCCGCAATCTCTTAGAACCAATTTATCAAGAGATGGAGCCCGTGGAATTGAAGATGAAAGCTTCTCACAATTGTAAATTACTAGCGTCGTTAGAGAAGGAAGTTGTTGAGGAAGTTGCCCTTTCAATTTGGGACAATTTTTTATACTCAACTCTTGAAGATGAGGGAAAGTAAGAGACAAAATTTCACATTTCCATTCTTCCCAACCCTTCATATCTCCAAACCTTAAGATTTCTAGGGATGAAGCATTAGAGCTATTTCCACAAAATTCTGGACCAATAGTTACTATACTATGAAACCCTATAATTGACAATGATTTGAGAGATGGTAAGAGGCCAATTGATGGCAAGGATATACAGTATTTGCAATGCCTTAGCTCTAGGGACAGTAAATTAGACAACGAATGATCACCAAGCCAATTAGGAAACTCAATACCACCATAGTTTCCAACTGATAGCTTTTTTAAATTTTTATGGGGTTGGAAGTTCTCTAGCACATCCTTGTCATGCAGTGACTTCTCTTTGTCTATGCACCATTCTAACGTCAACTCCTTTAGGTTTATCTTGCTTCCCAAATTGATTGCATGAGCTGCTGAAGGAGAAAATACATTCTGCAATTCCGAGATGGAAATTGATCCATGAAGATTAAGTCCTCCTAAATGTTTGATGTTGGTCTCTCCAGATTTGTCCATAATAAATGATGATAGCAGTTGAAGATTTTTCAATTTATCGAATTGCTTCGGCATCTCTCTTACTTGAGTTTCACGAAAATCAAGGTGACGGAGATTCACAAGTTTATGGAGATCCATTGGCAACATTTCCAAACGATGACAACGCCACAACTTTAGTGTTTGCAAATGATGAAGTTGACATATTGAATCGGGCAATTTCATAATTTTAATTCCTGATAAGTCCAGATAACGTAGATGTTTGAGATTTCCCACTGACTCAGGCAAGTGCTTGATGAAATGATCTGATAAAGATAAAACTCGCATGCAAATAAACTTGGATGGCAAATCATGAATAATCCTGTTGGATATGAGGTGGAGATTAGAGTCAGAAGCATAGCTTGTGCTACGATGACCTTGTATAGAAAAAGGCAAGAATGTGCGCAATCTATCAGCCTGGTATATAACCTCAAATCGTTTAGATAGATCAACATGATTTCTCAAAAATGAAATATGGCGGGTCATTTTTGTCAAATTATTTACACCATCCACCTCCAACCTATGGCAAAACTTTCCATATTCAACTTTTGCCATATCATTAATAAGATCATGCATGACGAAACGAGTGTCATCTACTGGTGATCGTTGAAAAAGTGACCTCAATAACAGGTCATGAAAGAATTGTTCTCCTACTTCTCTCCCATCTTTGCTTTGATGAGCACATGTCAGAAAATTTTCTGCCATCCACAGCTGAATTAAATACTCCTTATCAAAATCATAATCTTTGGGAAATATTGAACAATAAGCAAAGCATCTTTTGAGATGAGAGGGGAGGTAGCAATAACTCAATCTCAAAGCAGGGAGAATTGTGCTATCACTTTTTTCCTCCCATATCACACTATTCAAAATGTCATTCCATTGCTCATGAGATAATTCTGTGTATAAGAGACTACCAATGGCTTTCAAAGCTAAAGGCAACCCTTTGCATTTTTCACTGATTTTTCTACCAATTTCTTCAAGTTTAGAGTTTGCACAAAGAACATTTCCATCATGGAATGCATATCTGCTGAATAATGACCAACTATCTCCTGCTGATAAGGGCTTCAATGGAAGTATTTTAGTAGAACGCATGGTTGAAGTAACTTTTCCGCTGCGAGTGGTTAGAAGAATTTTGCTTCCTAGGGCCCCATTATTAAATGGTGCTTGCAAGGCCTCCCATAGCATATAATTTTCATTCCACACGTCATCTAAAACAAGGAAAAATCTCTTTTGAGTTAGTTGTTGTTTCAATTTAATTTGAAGCATATTTAGATCATTGGTATCATACTTATATCCAGTGATTGCCTCGTAAATTGTTCTTGTTACCCTCAACACATCAAACTCATCAGAGACACACACCCAAACTTTGAGGTCGAATCCATCCAACACTCTTCTATCATTATATATGAGCTGGGCAAGAGTAGTTTTACCCAAACCACCCATACCCACTATAGAAATCACAGATAGTTGGTTGTTATACTTTTCTGACAGAAGCCATTCAATGATGGTTTCTTTGTCGTCATCTCTACCATATGTTCTGTCTTCATCCACTAAAGATGTAGTTGGCAGTCTATCTGGCATAGCACTTCTCAATCCAGCACCACTATCACGTTCATTCAATCTTAATATGTCCCTTTGAGATGCAAGATATTCTAGATTTTCAAGGACGTTTTTCATGCTGTGTTCAATTTCCTTCTCAAATGAGCTAACAGAGGCACCAAAGAAGTTTCGTACCTTGCCAATGGCACTGGTTCGACTCTTTTGTTCAGCTTCCAGCTTGCGCTTGCACATTTCATAATCGATCTCATCCAAGACATCCTCAGCATCGAACACGGCATCTTTAACCAAATCAATCCAGTCCTTCACCTTCGGATTAGTGATCTGCTTTTGCTCTGCATCTTCAACCACGGCGTCGATGGATAACAGCACGATCTTCAACTTATTGAGCAATGTCTGGTTCAATTTTGGTTTGTTGAAGAAGTCCAGAACATCCCGAGAAGCCAGCCGATCGAAAGCCACCTGAAGAAAAGCAGAAAGAAAAGCACCGCCAACCAAAGCTCCCGCCATAGATGAAGATGTTGTGCTTGTGCAAATGCAAAACGAAAAAGAACGTGATGAAAATGCGAAAGTGGGAAAGGTTATTGCAATGGAAGGAGCGTGTGACTTTGTGGGTTTTGTGAGTGGCTAGAAAATGGCAAAATGCATTCACTTTTTATCCTCCCCTCAACCACGATACAAAATATCGATAAAAATGAAGACTTCGAGTTCCCAGTTCATTCCATTATTATATTTGTTTGACATTTCAAAGTGTTTTGGACCGCGTATTAATCATTCCATTATCATCTTCATCCCGTCAACCACGCAAGAAAATATCCATCGCAGCACAGACTTGAAAGCGACCTTGCGTTGTGCTTTACGATTCAATGGAGATCCCGCGTCTTTTATGCGCTGAAATTATATATTTTTATTATAAACATTTATGTAAACAAAAATTAATCCAGTTTTTAATCTCAAAATTTGAGATTAAAAAGAATATTAACCTTTATTTTTTTTAATTAATGAAATGGGTGGTTGATACTCTACTTCTTATATAAATAAATGTTAAATATGAGATATTGTTGTTTTGAAAATATGTATTTTTTTATGAAAGAATAATTTTTTACTTAAAAAATTCTAGGTGAGTTGAATTTCAAAGACTTGTGATGTTGTTGTAGACAAGGTCAGGGAATAGGGTTGCAACTCATCTTTCGAGCTAGATGTCGAACAAGACTCTGGCCTATTCATGTGCTCCCCTAACTGCGTATGGGAGTATTACTCGTTATTTTTATATATGAATTTATGTGTAAAAACATTATGATTTTTACACAGTTATGTGATCTCTCTTACTTGAAAAATAAATTATAATATTTTTAACTCATGTATAATGTTATTTTGAATAAATATTACTCCTCCAGTCCTTAATATAGATACTAATTAAAGAGTTGACACCGATCTTATATGTAAAACCTATTTCACAAGTTTATCAACTTTTTACTTAATTAATCCTATTAATATCTCCCTAATAATAATCAAGTAGGAAAGGAAAGAGAAATTGAGGAAGATTCTTAAAGTCTTTTAGAAAAAAAACATATCATACTCCTCCGGTCCTAATTATAAGACCCAATTCACTTATTTGAGGAGATTAAGAAAGTAAGTTAAGTTAGTTATTTATAATAAATAAGTATTGTCATTCCTAAAATATCCTTGCTAATTAAGTATATTGGCTAAAACTATCATTATTAGAAGGATTATCTTGGAAAAAAATGCATAAATATAAGAGACAAAATGGATTGGGTCTTATAATTAGGACCAAATAAAAAGTCAAATTGGGTCTTATAATAAGGACCGGAGGAGTATTAATTAATTTAATTAACATCATTAATCTACTGTAATTAGTTAATGAGGGTTCACATTAAGCATTGGAGGACTCCACGGTGATTAATTGGTTAATCAAATTCATGACTCTGTGCGTTTAGACTGTGTACTAATTATTTTTGTGCTTATGGTCAAAACGAAGACTTTACCGTGGGAAAATGAAGACCGCGTCTAGACTGCGGCAAAATATCGATCAAAATGAAGACTTCTAAGTTCCAGTTCTTCTGGCCCCAAAAAAAAAAAAGGGACACCTAATTACCAAATTTATTCATTTCATTGTTTAATTTCGTTGACATTATGTGTTTAGACTAGGCACTAATTATTATTGAGCCCAACGCCTAAACCACCGTGCACTGTGATAGACAACTCAATGGAGGTTCATAACATCTTATAAGCTAAAATTATATATTTTCATGCGAACATATAAGCTTGGTTATCTATATTTGTATCAAGTTTCAGTTTAATTTCTTAAAAAAATTTTAAAAATAATTTTTCAATTCCTTAATATTAACATGATTAGTTTTGTTAAAAAAAAAATGTTGACTCAATAAATTTAATCAACAAATTGAAATTATGACTTTACAATTAAATACTGCCATACTAATCTTTAATTTAAAATGTGTGAGTTGAAAATTTAAGTTAAAATTTTACTGAAATATGTTATTAAATTTTTGGTACTTGGTTGGCAAAAAAATATGTTTTATTTTATATTAATGAAATGAATATTTGATATTTTTTATATTAACTAGATGTCAAATGTGAAGATATTGTGGTTAAGAAGTAGTGCAATTGTAATTCATTTTCAAAGCAAGACAAGTCATTGTGGAGTGAAAAAGAAAAAGGATTTCAATGAAGGGTAGTCAGACAAGTCATTCGGGTCCAATGAGGCTTGTTCTTATTTGGATCTCCTAAACTATGAACCAAGACCAAACAATGAAGAGTGCCTAATTATTACTTTCAAATAAGGAGGCCATTGTGGTCTCAAATAAATTCCTAGTTATGACAAACATTTTGTTGAAATTCACTAGGATTATCATGAGATGGGAAAAGGCAATAGAATAGAAAATTAATAATCAAAACTTTCGATTTTTTTGGGGGGCTTGTATTGGAATTTTATCACTTCACAGAAAATAAAATAAGTTGAAGTCTCCATCTCACACGTTGTCAAACTACTTCATTTTAACCTTTTCAAAGTTTAACAACTCCCCGTCTTGTTCCTAAGAAAGCCTCACAATGTTCCTAATAGGAGGAGGAATTCATACCCAAATACTACCTCAGGTCCTCATTACAAGACAGGAGATAGTATAATATAGTATAGTTGTCACAGTCATGGCCGTAAACCAGAATCAGTAAATGCTAGTATAGGTTTTTACCCATCAGTTGACTTAGTTGAATGAGAAGTTAGGCAGATTTTGGATTTCTTAGAGCTAAATCGTTTAAAACAGCTACTTACTCTACGTTGAATGAATCACTTGGTTTATTAATACCCTAGTCTTGAAGAATTCTGCTAGAATTGCATGTCCATATACATAGTTGAATGCTGTGAATGTCTCATTTCTATCAGAGTTTCTCTACAAATTTGAAATCAATAAAATATTGCTTTCCAAATAAAGTTCTTCTCACAAAGTATTCAAACAAGAAAAGTGCTTAGTGAGGTAAGAAAATCACTCACCATGTAAAAATTTGGACACAAATTTCAAAGTCTTATATTCATTTCTCAAGTATAAAATATCTATCCATGGTGAATAACCACAGTTTAATGAAGAAGGGAACCAAGATTTTACAATCCGTAACCATGACACCAGTAAACTATCTACAGCAACGATGCCACTACATCCTAGTGCAACTCCAAACAGCTAGAATTTTACTCAAGAAAGAAGGGAAGTTATTGTCTTACACTATCTACTGAAAAACTTAACTTTCAAAAGACTAACAGAATCTCAGAATGTGAAGAAGATAGGTTTTGAGCAGCACTAAAAGCACACCACCTTCTTGGCGATCAATTTCATGGGAGTTGTACTTATGAATGAACATTGAGCAGTTCGATGTGTTATCTTGCTCCTGATGTTAAGAGTAAAAGGGAAAAAGTGGTGGCCTTCCTTAGCAATTGGACAAGATAAGGAGAAGAGTCTCTCATGTTCAGTGGGCGTGATATAAAAGCCTGTCAAAGAGAAAAGCGAATCAGTTTCTGTTTGTAATGCCCCCAAGACTTTTTCATTGGGATTTCACAATGCAAGGAATTTAAAATGCAGTAAGTTCATTTCATGGATTCTTTATATAATGTTTTTATAACTAACAAGTGAACTTTAAGTTATCAAAATTTTTTTACATTTTTTATGCTTCCAATCGGTAGTCTTCAAAAATAAATTATTACCATTCTCAATCTTTCCAACACACATACTCAAGAACTGCACAAATTCCCATAGGGATATGCTTCAGATCTGGATTTTGTAAGAAAAATGTTATGTTGATTTGAACTTGTACAAATATCGACTTAATGGTATGCCTGAATCAAGAAGAACAAAGAAGAAAGAAAGATTTGAGTTGGATTTGAAGTGGGGAAAATATTTAAATCAAATTTTCTCTCCCATTCTCCTCAATCCAAACATGCCCTTTTCACGATTCTTTTCTCAAGACACTCCAGTCCAATCCTACCAAATATTGGATATGTGACGTGTATGTCCAAGTTGTAAGAATTAGCAGTACACTCAGGACGCCTATTTACGTACTGACTATCTATGGACTTTCTTAAAAAGGGGTTGGGATATGTCAAGTCCTGCGCTTTGAAATTCTTGAAAAAGCTCATTAGCCACTTTTTTCAGTGTTGTGTCTGATGGCTTCTTGAGTCCAGTTTGAGCAATTATGTTCTCTGCATATTCTTTTGTTGAATGAAGAACCCATCTTTCACTATAAAGTAAACATGCCACTGGCAATCAATAAGTTATAGATTAATGGAAAATGATAGAAGATTAAACAAACACCTATGAGTAGAAAGGCCTGGCTTGCTGCTCTTGCAATGAACCCACCTTAAAATGCTAGAATTCTCAATGAAGAAGCCTTTGAAGGGTATCTGAAAAATTTGAATCACATGTTGAATTTATTTCGCAGAAGATTATCTTTAAGTATACATTCAAAAGACTAAACCAAGCCGTTATTTTATTTTAGTATGATCAACTATAATAATTAGACAGACAACTCCTGTCTTCTCTACCAAGTTCAATTTTCAGTTTTGATAGCAAGCCACGGATACAAAAGGAAATAGAAAATGGCCAAGCCAAAAACAATCATGCAGTGAATAACGAAATCAAACAAGCCATTCAGATTACATTCACTATTAATGACAACGTCAAAGGTGTGTAGCTACTATAACTGAGGTTAGAGGCTCTGCAAATGCCAGCATTACAGCAAAACATGGCCTAACAGGAAGATCACGTAACTTTGCTGATAACTTTGGCATCAAATTCATATATGCATTCATCGCAAAAGTCAATCTGCCGCTATTGACAATAGAAATGCCACAGTAAGAATCATTTGACATAAAGCAATCACAGTTTAGATGCTAAGTTTTCACCTTTCAAAATACAAACACACACACACGACCTAGCTAATTACAGTGATGCCCCTACGGCAGATTTGAATATAAAAATAGTCAAAACGTAGTCCATTTGTCCAGCTCATCAATTTCATGTTGGTTCATCTACTAAACCACAAACTACCAAATTAATCTGATATCACTGTTAGTTAACGTAAAGGAATCTTTAATTCACCGCAAA